TGGTCCTTTGCTGGTTTATGCTGGTCCTTTGCTGGTTTATGCTGGTCCTTTGCTGGTTTATGCTGGTCCTTTGCTGGTTTATGCTGGTCCTTTGCTGGTTTATGCTGGTCCTTTGCTGGTTTATGCTGGTCCTTTGCTGGTTTATGCTGGTCCTTTGCTGGTTTAAGCTGGTCCTTTGCTGGTTTATGCTGGTCCTTTGCTGGTTTAAGCTGGTCCTTTGCTGGTTTAAGCTGGTCCTTTGCTGGTTTATGCTGGTCCTTTGCTGGTTTATGCTGGTCCTTTGCCAGCACATGACCAGCATAAACCAGCAAAGGACCATCTTAAACCAGCATCCCAGCGTCAAAACATACCTAACCAGCATATGCTGATTTTTTTCAACAGGGTTCAACAGTGTGACACTGAGAGCATTTATGAACAAAGATCTTCTTTCCTTTTTCTGTGTCTTCTACCATTTTAATGCTCACAACAGATGGATCTGAAAAAAAAGAAAGGATCTTTATCTACAGAAATTGACTTTCAAAAATAAACCTATTTTAAAAATATTCACTGACGTAAAACAAGTGCCATGGTACTATCTGACACTATCAGTGTAGTATTGCCACATTTTATTAATTTTGTAAGGACGCAAATGTAAGTCAGGAAATCGAATAACTTATTTCTCAAATGAACGCGGAATACGGGATGAACATCGATTGAATAAAACATTGTGGATTAAAGTCGTTCTGTAAACGTAAAATAGATATTGACATTTAAAAGTTATCTTAAACTACAATACCGTAACGAAATTCGTTGTATATTAATCTTAATTTATTAGTAGGCCTATATTAAATGACAGACGTCGTGCACCCATATTTACTGCGCTACGAATTCTCAAGTATGTTACTATCATTTGACAAATTTCACTCATTTTAATGCTAACTGCCAACACCTTTCACCAATCCAGTTCTCAGTCCCCCCCCCACCCCCCCACAAATACACCCTCAAAATCAGTCTGACCATGGTGGATGTGAATATCCTACATTTAATTATACTTTTAGGTGTATTTTTGGAACATTGGATTTAGTAACTGAACATATGAAAAAAAATGTTTTCTTTAAGTTATAAATAAGACTAAAAGATTATTGGAGTACGTTTTACAAGACAATACTTTTTCAGTGTTAGAATTTGGGGGATCATCTATTAGTAACAAAATGTGGTTTGTTTGTTTTGTTATTTGTAACAGGTTGTAAACTGCTCAGTTGTTGGACAATCAAATTTGTAAATGGTAAGTTTTCTTTTTCTCTTGTCTTCTAGGCCTATATTTTGCCTGACTGCTACTGCTCTTTTTGATGTGGGAGTTTGTATTTATTTGTGAAATTTTTTAAAATAATTTCTCAGTGATTTTTTTTCCCCAAAGTAAATGCAACACCATTTTAGGGAATCTTCTTACACCCATAGCAGTGTTTGTTTGTAATCTGTTTGTTATGAAGAAAAGGCAAAAAAAATTGATCATGTGTTATCCAGTTTAGACATTTACCAGTTTTGCACATCGCTGATGCTTTTGGATATAATGTAGGCCTACTTCATTTAGATTGCTATATAGTTTGTATTATAGCAAGAGACCTGCTGCATATAGGTTGTGTGAAGTTTCACCTCATGAGTTTTTGTGAAACTGGTGATGGATATCTAAGTCATAGGATGAATACTGAAGGTCAAAAACCTGAGAGCAAGGAATGGTTTTGATATTGCAAACACCAGTTCTCTTTTATGTAATTTGTTCCCTGCAGGTTGAAATCGCTGTCCAGGGAAGGCTGGGTTGTCTCTTGGTTGAAAACTTAAATAAGACCTTAAAGCGAAGCAGAGAAGGATCATATACAGTGGTGTGAAAAAGTGTTGGCCCCCTTCCTGATTTCTTATTTTTTTGCATGTTTGTCACACTTTAATGTTTCAGATCATCAAACAAATTTAAATATTAGTAAAAGATAACACAAGTGAACACAACATGCAGTTTTTAAATTAAGGTTTTTATTATTAAGGGAAAACAAAATCCAAAACTACATGGCCCTGTGTGAAAAAGTGTTTGCCCCCTAAACCTAATAACTGGTTGAGCCACCCTTAGCAGCAACAACTGCAATCAAGTGTTTGCGATAACTTGCAATGAGTCTGTTACAGCGCTGTGGAGAAATTTTGGTCCACTCATCTATGCAGAATTGTTGTAATTCAGCCACATTGGAGGGTTTTCGAGCATGAACCGCCTTTTTAAGGTCATGCCACAGCATCTCAATAGGATTCAGGTCAGGACTTTGACTAGGCCACTCCAAAGTCTTCATTTTGTTTTTCTTCAGCCATTCAGAGGTGGACTTGCTGGTGTGTTTTGGATCATTGTCCTGCTGCAGAACCCAAGTTCGCTTCAGCTTGAGGTCACGAACAGATGGCCAGACATTCTCCTTCAGGATTTTTTGGTAAACAGCAGAATTCATGGTTCCATTTATCACGTTATGTCTTCCAGGTCCTGAAGCAGCAAAACAGCCCCACACCATCACACTACCACCACCATATTTTACTGTTGGTATGATGTTCTTTTTCTGAAATGCAGTGTTACTTTTACACCAGACGTAATGGGAAACACACCTTCCAAAAAGTTCAACTTTTGTCTCGTCAGTCCACAGAGTATTTTCCCAAAAGTCTTGGGGATCATCAAGATGTTTTCTGGCAAAACTGAGACGAGCCTTTATGTTCTTTTTGCTCAGCAGCGGTTTTCGTCTTGGAACGTCTTTTGCCCAGTCTCTTTCTTATGGTGGAGTCATGAACACTGACCTTAACTGAGGCAAGTGAGGCCTGCAGTTCTTTGGATGTTGTTGTGGGGTCTTTTGTGACCTCTTGGATGAGTCGTCGCTGTGCTCTTGGGGTAATTTTGGTCGGCCGGCCACTCCTGGGAAGGTTCTCCACTGTTCCATGTTTTTGCCATTTGTGAATAATGGAACACAATAATGCAAACACTTCTTCACACAGGGCCATGTAGTTTTGGATTTGGTTTTCCCTTAATAATAAAAACCTTCATTTAAAAACTGCATGTTGTATTTACTTGTGTTATCTTCGAATAATATTTAAATTTGTTTGATGATCTGAAATATTAAAGTGTGACAAACATGCAAAAAAAAAAAGAAATCAGGAAGGGGGCCAACAATTTTTCACACCACTGTTTCTTCTGCATCTTGTGCACCTATATGAGGTAGGTGTGTTATATCATTATTCTTGGTTAGATGTGTGTGTGTTTAGCAAATCATTGGGCAAATGGCATGTCACACTGTTCCTCAACAACCTGTATGCAGACCATCTTGTAGAGAACCAACATCAAACATTCCAGTTAATTAAAGAGTGTATTTATAACACCTCAACCTCATTAAGCATTGTTCCGTGCGGAATGCATTTGCAGGAGAAAGCTGAGTGGCTCTTTTTTATGCAGGAACGAAAGGAACATTAATGCAGTTATGGGTGTTGGATGTTGAAACTCTCTTAAACATAAAGGTTCTTTATTAGCATTAATGGTTCCATGAAGAACTTTTAACATCAATGGAACCTTTTTCTTGCATAAAAGATTCTTTATAGTGGACAAGTTTCTTTAGATTAATAAAATGGTTTTTTTAGACAAATATATATATATTTTTTTAAGGAACTGATGATTGAAAGATTCTTTGAGGAACCAAAAATGGTTCAAAAATAATTGTAATAAAAATTATATATTACAAAACTTTTTAATGGTGCAACTTAATGTAAAAACAATATTCAATAATATTACATATGAAGCCTTAGATCAAAGATAAAGAAAACTAAAATAACAATAATTATCATCATCATTATTTTAAGTCACTTGAAATTATATTATTTTATAATGATATGGTGCAACCCCATGTAATCAAGTTTATTCAATCCTATTAGATATGAAGACTTAGATCAAAGTCTATTAAGTTTTGGGCAAACTATGACTATGACAACTTACTCTGAATCCACAATTGAATTCCACACATACTGTAGATTCCAACTCAAAATAGTAAAGGAAGTAAAGAAAAAGAAAGAGTATAAAGCACTTACCTCAGGAAACTGTCCCCATGTAAATCTATCAGGATCACTGTCATCAGGAAGTGGCAATCTGAGAGCCGTAACCTCCCTTAGCATGAAACTGCTCAGGGTGCCGAGGGCTAAAAAGAGAAGAGTGAAGTAGGACATCTTATAATCGTTCACTGAAGTCCAAGCACAACGCAGGGTTTTTATACATTTGGCCATGTGCAAATAAACATACTCACAAAGACATTCCTTATGATGCACTCACAGCATTGCATACTTAATATATTAACACACAGCACCCACCTTCATTCATTCACTAATGACCTTCTTGAGTGTCTCATAGCAACAGAGTGACAGGTCCAACTGAAAGAGGAGTAGAAGTCCTTACCAAAGGTGCCTAAGGTTTCTTAAGATGGGCCAGAAGATGAAGACTTTTTTTGAAGTGGACTTCTTTTCCGAATCACTATGATTTGATAACTAAACCCTTAATGTGGTGGCTGGTCTTGAAATATTAATGCATTACTGAGGAATTATTAGACAGCTATAAACTGATTTTTCCCCTAATTAGTCTTATAAAGAGAGAAGAAGCAGGGAGAGGCCAACCAACGAGCATGTAAAATAATCTCCAGGAAATGTGCACCCTATATGACCAGTCAATAAAATGCATTCACATGCTGAACAAAACATTTGGACTTGCTCCAAATTAACCAGAGAAGCATTTCATGTGACAATAGTTCAAATCAGTTAATTGTGCAGCTCACCGAGACCTCAATTACCACCACATTCAGGCTGGAGTAAGTAAAAATGGTCTGTTTTTTCATGTAAAAGATGCAAGACACATAAGGATGAATAGGAAATTGACATGCTGGAAATGCCTGGATGAGGCGTTGTAGGCCACAGAGTCGCACTGGAATTTTATCAATGGTCTGGTATTTTATTCCATCAAAGAATATTTACTAATTGCCATCAGTGTCATACAGATCATGGCAGTAAGGGGTGGCATATTCATTATGTAATCAGTGCGGTTTAGGAAAAGTCATCTAATGATGTTTATTAGTTATGTTAATCATCACCATCATCATCATATAGCTGAAAGATATACATATATATATAAATATGAATATATAACATGTAAATATAAAAAAGGCATTCCACGAAAAATTTTAATAGGGCATTTTTGAGATTCCATGTTTCAAATATGTCTCCATCAACTTAAAAAGCACATTAATGATAATTGGCTATAATTAGCTGTAGATGTGCATAGCACACATTTTTGTATGATGTCTATTAGCAGAATGCTCATATAGAATGTAATGTAACATTTAAATAAATAGGTCATAAATACGTAAATTAGGTGGTGATATCTTGGCACCCTAAATGTTAATATTCTAGATGGAGTTTATATATAAAAACATTATCAAGTGATTCGAACTTTACTTTAAACTGAATAATCTATTATTATATGCTTAATATCGATATGGCGCATCAATTAGACTTTTCTGTGAAGGTCAATACATATCCTATCCAGCAGGGGGCAGTGCGACATTATAACATAAGTGATAACACAAAACGGTCTCATTACAGGCTGTCAATTAGGATTGTGTTGAGATTACGAGATAAATAAATCTTTTAAAAAAATGTATATACTATATATTAGTTAGTTAATTGTAATTAGAAAAAGTCAATAATACATAGCTGGGCTGCTGCTGTAAGTTTGTGCCATGTATTGACACTGTTTCTATACAATACGCAAAATGAATGAAAAACATATAGGCTACTTTCCGAACTAAGCTTTACTCATTCATAACTCTCAAATGGATGAAAAATCTTGCAGGGCGTCCAGTGGCTTTGTTTTTCACCTCAATGTGCCATTCATCAGTTATTAAAATAATAATGTGGAGGTTTTATTTAGATGGTTAGAGGATGGAGACCAAAATGTGTATGCTTACAGTTTATTCAGGCTTCAGCTAACCAGTCCCTTTGTAATTTTTCCCATCCTGTCAGCTCGAACCGATCAAAGACCTGAACAAACATCCACCCTAGACACTCAGACAAGGGGTGTAGACCGCCACCACAAGACCTTAGTGTTGTCCAATCAGATGTCTGCCGAGGTCAGCATGTTTCTGCCAATCAGGAATGAAGCGGAAGGTGCTGATGAAGGATCAGGAAACTTCGAAAATGGTCCTTAATGACAGAGGAGGAGTGTGTTCGCACATGTGTGTATTAGCATGCTACTATTTACGTACATGCTATATGCGATGGCTTTATCTGACACTAGCATCTGTAGCTTTGATCTTCAGGTCTCTGAAAACATGCAGAAGTGCAGTACATATAAAAAAAAATGTATAAAAGAGAGCGAAAGAGAGCAATAGTGTGGCTCCGCCTACATGGGGTCTTGAACTTTGACCTCTAGTCTCCTCTCTCGACAGATTCCTAAGATGTGGCTGATGGCGGTGATGGGGTCGAGGCCTGGCGTGATGGCCAGAGTAAAGTGCAGTCAGTGTGGGAGGAGTGGGTGACCGTTAACCTTTCTACGAAACTGAACTTTGACCTCTATGCTTTGCTTGAAGGTGACGGCCTGAGCAACCTCCACTGTTAAAACTGGACATAAATATACTATCGTCGATATTCGCCGCCTCTCACAAAATTCAATTCAATATACACATGTTAATATTACTAAAGATGTACAGATAACTCCTTTCTATATGTTGTTCAGGTGTCGGACACAATTATAATTGTATACAGTTAATTGTATAGTGTTTTTATGAATTTGTGACCACTATAATGGTAGGCCTAAAAATAAT